AAATCACAATGAGGGGCCAGTGCCATGGGCTTGGCCTGATTGCCTCCACAGCTATATTGGCTCAAGCACAGGCAGCAGAGGCTGCCAGGGGAGATGTGGGGCTGGAGGGCACAGGAGCGGAGCCCTGGGCCAGGGGGCTCTCCTGGGCCCTGCTGCTCCCCAGGGTACTGACATTACAGGAGTGTCCCTCAGCTGTGGCAATGTCAGCCCAGGGGCTGGGGTGGGCTGTGGTGGGAGGCTGAGGTGTGCAATAGGGTTACTGCAGCCAGGGGGCTGGGGAAAGTGCTTGTGGTGGTGGGGGGTGGCAGATTGAGTGTTGGACCCTCATTGTGCTTAGAGCTGCAGTGCACTGTGTCACTGTGTCAGAGCTTCTGTTGGAGCGTGGCCCTGGAGCTGGAGCTGCCAGGCTGGCCGTGCCATCAACCAGGGCTGCCAGTTTGTGCCAAGCAGCCCCCAGGTGTTGGCACAGCCCTGGCCCTGGATACTCATGGCTACATTAGTCATCTGTTGTCAGCACTAGCAGCCTGGGGTGCTCCGGCACCATCTGTCCTGGTGGGTGCTGACACCTGCTGCAGTTCTTGGTGGGGTTGCAGTGACCTAAGGTGGGGGAGTGGCAGCAGTGGTAGGGTTGTTTCTGCTTCCCCCAACCAGCAGCTGCTAGCAGAAAGGCAGGAGGACAGAGGATGCCAGTTTCTCTGTGTGCCCTGTCTCAGTGACTGCTGACAGCCTCTTAAGCTGAACTGCACTGGCTGCCCCGAGAGCCCCAGCCTGGGGAGAGAAGTGGCACCCACAACTCAGGGAGCTTGGTGAGTGGTGTGAGCAGAGTGGAACAGGGCTGCCACCCCACCACCTGGCAACAGGAGAGCCCAGAGGCTGTGGAGATGGGAGACAGCCATGGTTGCTCTGCCAGGGCCCCCCAAGGTTGGTGACTGCTGCAGCAGACCCCAGCATAGCACTGGGGCCCAGGCTGGGATATAGTAGGCACAAGCCATGCAGAAGCTAGGCAGTGCCCAGCACTCTGGTGATGCTGTTCTGTGCCTGGGGCAGGCACCCCCTGGGCTCTGGTCCAGGGCAAGGGAGAGAACCAGGCTGACAGAGCTGATGGGAGGCTGCTGCGTGGCCAGGCACGGGCGGTGCTGCCCTGCCTGCGAGGTGCTGCCTGCTCATATATGGGCAAGACTGGGGAGCCTGGAAAGTGTGAGTCAAGGCTTGGGTCCTGCTGAGTCTTGCAGTGTTTGTGCCTGTCTTCAGGGGCATCCCAGCTGGCGCTGGAGCTGCTGCTCCCCTGGCCTCCCCACGGCATCAGTACACCGGGCCCAAACAATGGCTTTATAAGGGCAGAGCTGCACTCTCTGTGCTGCCGTTGCTTTGCCAACAGGCCGTGAGCTGGGGCTGGCAGTGGCTGGGGGGGTAAGGCCCACATCTCTCTCCCCAGGACTCTCAAATCACAATGAGGGGCCAGTGCCATGGGCTTGGCCTGATTGCCTCCACAGCTATATTGGCTCAAGCACAGGCAGCAGAGGCTGCCAGGGGAGATGTGGGGCTGGAGGGCACAGGAGCGGAGCCCTGGGCCAGGGGGCTCTCCTGGGCCCTGCTGCTCCCCAGGGTACTGACATTACAGGAGTGTCCCTCAGCTGTGGCAATGTCAGCCCAGGGGCTGGGGTGGGCTGTGGTGGGAGGCTGAGGTGTGCAATAGGGTTACTGCAGCCAGGGGGCTGGGGAAAGTGCTTGTGGTGGTGGGGGGTGGCAGATTGAGTGTTGGACCCTCATTGTGCTTAGAGCTGCAGTGCACTGTGTCACTGTGTCAGAGCTTCTGTTGGAGCGTGGCCCTGGAGCTGGAGCTGCCAGGCTGGCCGTGCCATCAACCAGGGCTGCCAGTTTGTGCCAAGCAGCCCCCAGGTGTTGGCACAGCCCTGGCCCTGGATACTCATGGCTACATTAGTCATCTGTTGTCAGCACTAGCAGCCTGGGGTGCTCCGGCACCATCTGTCCTGGTGGGTGCTGACACCTGCTGCAGTTCTTGGTGGGGTTGCAGTGACCTAAGGTGGGGGAGTGGCAGCAGTGGTAGGGTTGTTTCTGCTTCCCCCAACCAGCAGCTGCTAGCAGAAAGGCAGGAGGACAGAGGATGCCAGTTTCTCTGTGTGCCCTGTCTCAGTGACTGCTGACAGCCTCTTAAGCTGAACTGCACTGGCTGCCCCGAGAGCCCCAGCCTGGGGAGAGAAGTGGCACCCACAACTCAGGGAGCTTGGTGAGTGGTGTGAGCAGAGTGGAACAGGGCTGCCACCCCACCACCTGGCAACAGGAGAGCCCAGAGGCTGTGGAGATGGGAGACAGCCATGGTTGCTCTGCCAGGGCCCCCCAAGGTTGGTGACTGCTGCAGCAGACCCCAGCATAGCACTGGGGCCCAGGCTGGGATATAGTAGGCACAAGCCATGCAGAAGCTAGGCAGTGCCCAGCACTCTGGTGATGCTGTTCTGTGCCTGGGGCAGGCACCCCCTGGGCTCTGGTCCAGGGCAAGGGAGAGAACCAGGCTGACAGAGCTGATGGGAGGCAGGAGTGCAGGGCCAGCGCTTGCAGCAAGAGTGATGGGCAGCATGTGACCAGAACCTCTTGCCCTTCTTTGGACCAGCTAGTGATGTTTGTGGTGAAGACACAGTACAGACATATGTAGGCAGGCAAGTCTCTCCACACAATGCACTTACATTAGCTTTAGGAGAAGGAGAGTGGGCACTGTCTGAGCAGGGGATGCCTGCTGTCACTGAGAGCTGGGGCAGAGAGCACCAGAGTGGCAAGTGGTGCAGGTAGGAATCCCCTGTGGCAGGCAGCATGTGCTCATCCCAGCACCAGGAGAGGCAGGGCAGTGGCTGCTGAGGGACAGGAAGGAGCTACCCAGGGCTGAGGGCAGCAGTGTCCAGCACCAGCGGTCCTCAGGTGGTGGGGATCCCCTGGGCCAGCCCCCCTGGAGGGGCAGCCTGCCCAGGGCCATGCTGAGGGCTGCATCTCTGCAGGACGCTGGTGGACTGTGTGCCGCTGGTGGAGGTGGAAGACATGATGATCATGGGGAAGAAGCCGGACGCCAAGTGCGTCTTCACCTACGTGCAGTCCCTCTACAACCACCTACGTCGTCACGAGTTGCGCATGCGACAGAAAGAGTGCTAGAGCCTGCCCTGCCTGCCCCCCCGCCGCCCTCTGCTCTCAGGGCTGCCAGCAGGCAGGAGAGCTGTCTGCCCCAGAGGATGCAGGGGGTGCTGCGGGGCTGGCACTGGGGACAGGGGGGCTCTGCCACCATGGCACCCCCTGTCTCTGCCTTGCTGGAGCTCCCTCTGCCCTGGCCAGCTGCAGGCTGACCCTGTGGGCAAGGCCAGGTTTTGCTGAAGATGCTCCCCAGCTTGGCTTGCCTCCCATTCTGCAGTTATTTGTTCTTCAGGAACAGTTTGTCCCGTGGACAGCACACCCATATCCTTGGGGAGGCCCAGGCATGGCTGTACTCTTGTGGCTGGCATGGGTTGGCAGCTGAGCAGGGTCATGCAGCCCAGCCTGGGTCATGGTTATGCCCTGACAGTCCACCCCTGAGTGGCACCCCTTGGCCCCCTGTGAGGAAGCTCCTCTGCCTATTGCAGGCCCTGCTTGGTGCCACCTCCCTGAGGGTGGCCCCACGCCCCGTGCTGACACCCTGCTTCCCACCGCACACGTGCACTGTGGGGCGCTTCCACAGGAGGGGGGGCTGCAGCCCCGTGTTGGGGGATGGGTAGGAAGGCAAGGGGTCCCAGGGGAGCAAGGGGCCCAAGGAGGGAGCTCGGATGGCAGCCCCCATTCCTCCCCAGCCCAGCTTGGGGCACTGTGTGCTCAGCACTGCTCACCCCTCTGTCACCATCCATACATCCATGTTGACACGTGTACCAACACCAGCCAGACAATAAAGGCTTATTCTACAGGGTGATGCCTCTGCCTCGGGTCCTTCTCCCCTGCTGCGCTGCTGCTTTGTGCCACCAATGCAGCGCAGGTGGCACCTGGCAGGAGGGCTGGCAGCTGTGCTCACTGCAGGCCTCCTGCCCTCCCACCAGCCCCACCAGAGGGGCATGTGCTGCTCCTCCTGCTCAGGGGTGGTGCCTGGAGCACCATCACTCTTCTGCCCTGTCCAAATGCTGTTAGTTGCTGCCCCTAGGTGTGGTACGGGCAGAAGAGCCCAGGCTGCCACAAGGCTGAGTTGAGCCCGGTCTGCAGATGGCCCAGGCCACTGGGCTTTGGCTCAGCTCTGCAAGGCCCACTAATGGGCTTGTATCCATGCCCCTGCACCCCATGAGAGCAGCTCTTGCCAAACTGGTGTTTCATCCATCACCCCACAGGGGGGATGACACAGGAACAGCACAGTTGGTTCATGAGACAGTTTGTCAGCTTGCCATCAGTAGCTTTGACTCTGTCTTGTCCCGCTTTTGCGAGTGGCTCTGGGGCACCCAACCACCCAGCAGCCCAGGACAGAGCAGTGCAGGATGCTCCCCACAGCCCCTCCTTGATAGATGACACAGTGCACCAGCTGTACACAACGGCTTTACTGGGGGCTTAATATGAGACAGCCCCACTGGGGTGTAAAGCCAGACCCCACTCAGGGCAGCTCTCACCTCTGGGACTCAGCACATCTACGCTCAGCACCTGGGGCTTTCTGCTGAGAGTTTCATCCTGTCCCACACAGGTAGGATACTGGCTGCCAAGTGATTGAAGTCACCTAAACCTCAGGTCCTGGTGAGGGAGCATGAAGAATGCTGCTTCTCCCAACCAGCTCGAGATGCCAGGCTGTAGGAGAGGGAGGGCAACAACAGGCATGCAGGACCACCAGGATGTATGCAGTGCCCAGGAAGCCCCTGCTCAAGCCTGGAGCTGCTCAGGGCAGAGGCTATGCAGCACCAAGTAACAGCAGGGGCACCTTTACCACCCCACAGCACTGTCCCCAGCTGCTGGGGACTTGCTGCAGGGCCTTCTCCTGAGCACAGCACCCCTCCTTGCTAGAGGTCTTGGTGTTCTCTCTTGGCATGCTCAGGTGGGGTCTTGCCACCAGCAGCAGGAGCTTGGCGGGGTGTCAGGGTGGGCAGAGGCCTAGCAGGTGCAAACTGGAACTCCTCAGGCACAGGGGCATCAGGTGTCTCTTTGCGGTAGAAGCCCAACTCCTGCACCAGCTGGTTGATCTCCTCCCGGGTCATGTCACTGAGAGGTATTCTCTGCACACAGACAGGGATTGCAGCATGGCACTGGTGGGGCACCAACCACCCCAGCCCCCGCTGCAGCGGTGGGTGCCATGCTGCAGGCTCACCTCCAGCTCCTCATATCGGTGGCTGAGGAGCACAAGCTCAGGGTCAGCACCAGGGAGGTGCTTCATCTCCAGGTTATGGCTGGGTAGTGTATTAAGGAGCAGGCAGTACTGGGAAGGCCAATGCAGCTCCCCTCCCTATCCCATCCTGTCACATCCCATTTCCTCCCACGCCTTCACATCCCATTCCATCCTGCAAACATCCCATTCTCCATTCATCACCCAATCCTATCCTCCATCTCCTCCTATCCCTCAGCCTATCCTATCCTGTCCTCCATCCCCTCCCATCCCTCATCCTGTCTCGCTCACCCTGTCCTCTATCGCATCCTGACATGACCTTCCCATCCCGCCCGCTCTCCCTGTCCCATCCCAGCCCG